ATAAACTCAGGGGTTTTCTGTATGTAGACATAGAAACTAATTATCACAAAGGCAATTTTCTCTCTCTCTCTCTCTCTCTCTCTCTCTCTCTCTCTCTCTCTCTCTCTCTCTCTCTCTCTCTCTCGACAGGGTTTCACTGTATTGTTTTGGAGACTGCCCTGGAACTCGCTTTGTAGACCAGGCTGGCCTCGAACTCACAGAGATCCGCCTGCCTCTGCCTCCCGAGTGCTGGGATTAAAGGCGTGCGCCACCAACGTGATTAAATGATTGTAATGGCGTATGTAGTTCATTATTTCGTTGAACAAAACAAGAGTCAAAGTTTCTAACCAACATAAATAGATGGGATTACAGGGAAAAAAAAACCTGTTTTCTTCCTCTTCCTCTTTCTCTTTTGGAGGTGTGGTCTCATGTAGCCCAGGCTGGCCTCAAACTCCTTATGGGGAAGGTCTTTTCTGATTCTCCTGCCTCTGCCCCTCAAATGCTGGGCATACAGGTGCCACCATGTGCTGGCTCCCCATCCTTGCAGGATGAGACTTTGCAGAATTCCAGTCATCCTCCTCTATTCCCTTTCTCTGCCTTTTCTCCAGTGTACTTACTGCCTGCCAAGTAATATTTTGGGTAACCCAAACAGACTTTTCCCGACAAGAGCACAAGCCAGTAAGGACAAAACTTGTTGCCTACTTTGTTTGGACCTGTTTGTGAGGGGCCAGAACAGCTAAGACAAATGTGCTGAAGACGAGGAAGACAGGATTCACCCTTTACAGCTGTGGTCCTTAAAGTTTATGATGCTCTTTCCTGATGAGACCCTTCTTTGAAACAAACAACAGAAAAGAAAAGAAGGAAAAAATGCTCCTTTCTAGTTTATCTGAACCTGTGATCACAGAACAAGAGAACTGGGAGCTGTTTGTTTTAGGAACTTAGAACTCTCCTCTGTGTTCTTGCTTTGGCTCCAGGCTGTTTTCCTTTTTTTTTTTTAATTTTTATTTTCTTATTATTTTATGTGCACTGGTGTTTTACCTGCATGTATGTCTGTGTGAGGGTGTCAGATCCGGAAGTTAATTGTCAATAGAGTGCTGGGACTTGAACCCCGGGCTCTCTGGAAGAACAGTCAGTGCTGTTAAACAATTGAGCCATTTCTCCCTCCTCTAACCCTCCCTCCCCAGTTTTCCTACTTTCAACCCTCAAGCCCTAGGGAAACAGACTTCTAGGAACTGATCTCCCCACCAGGTCCAGGGCACCCTAACAAGCCTGCTTCCCCTTTCCCTTTGAAGATGGAGAGGGAAGGACAAGGTTGTCGCCGCAGGAGAGGGGAATGTAAGCACAGCACCAGCTGCACCAGCCTTTCTTCTACTGCCAGCGTCCCTAGAGGCCTAACAAGTGGCCATGCCCCGCCCTCCTCTGCCCATGTACTGTTAGGTTAAAACCATGACATGTATGAACACAGGCTCTCTCTCTCTGTTTTTGTTTGTTTGTTTGTTTGTTTGTTTGTTTTTGAGACAGGGTTTCTCTCCTGACCATCCTGGCACTCTCTCTGTAGAGCAGGCTGGCCTTGAACTCACAGAGCTCCCCAGTGCTGGGATTAAAGTTGTGCACCACCATTGCCAGGCCTCAGGCTCTCTCTGAGGTAGAGGCTTATGATCTTCTTAGAGACACCCACTCATGCTCTCAAACAAAGGTACACTAGGCACAACTTCACAGGCCACATCTGTACCAGCAAAGAGTTGGAGTCAAATTACTCAGTTCATTCAACTAGTCTCACTGGAGGGTAAACTTAGGTTTTGAGGGACTGAAAAAGTTTATTTATTTATTTTTGAGATAGGGTTTCTCTTTGTAGCCCTGGCTATACCGGAACTAACAATGTAGACCATTTTGTAGAGATCTGCCTGACTGTGCCTCGGGAGTGCTGGGATTAAAGGCATGTACCACCACCATCACCCGGCATATGTGATTTTTAAAAGGAAAAAAAAATTAGGCATAGTTAAGTAATATTTAGAACAACTCAAGAATGCATTAATTTACATATTTAAAAAGCTAACAAATAGCCGGGCGTTGGTGGTGCACGCCTTTAATCCCAGCACTCAGGAGGCAGAGGCAGGCGGATCTCTGTGAGTTCGAGGCCAGCCTGGTCTACAGAGCGAGTGCCAGGACAGCCTCCAAAACTACACAGAGAAACCCTGTCTCGAAAAAAACCAAAAAAAAAAAAAAAAAAGCTAACAAATAGAGGTGAAACTTTGGGTTCAATCTTCAATACTAGGGGGAAAAATCTGACAAACTGTCAGTGAAGTAGTTACAATGAAATAGTTAAAATGATGATTATAACTGTAACTAATACTTAATAAAGAAAACACTGACAAGCACCCTATCTTCTGGCAAACCTCCACAGGCTGCCTGCCTACTTTGTGTATTTCTTTTTCTTCATGTGTATGTGCAATTTACAGCATGCTATGACCCTATGAACACCTTCCCGAAAGCTTCTCCAGATCTTGTTTTGGGTTTCTCAATTTCATTAGCATTATGGTGAATCAGCTTATGCCCTTGAAGTTCTTAAACAGGCTCTCAGCTGGCTGAGAAAGCCTGTTTTCTTAGACCAATGGGTTTGTTTTTCTTCTTTTCAAATTGAGCATTTCACAGGTTTCTTATCAGATGGCCTACAGCACTTCTGATGCCCAGGGTATGGGGGGGGAATCTGGGGTGGGATTGGAGATGGGTGGGTTGATGTCAGGGGGGCCGGGGGTGGTGGTGGGGTGGGGTGTAAGTGTGGGGTGTAGGTGTGGGGAGGTAGAGAATGAGCCTCAGTAGCACTCAGTAGCAGGGAAGACTCCTTTCCCATTGAGAGGTGGGGAAATGAGGGTTATAGCATAGGAAAGTGGGGGCTCTCCGACTGCTACATTTTCTTAAAAGAGCATTTGCTTCCAAAACAATACAGAGAAACCCTGTCTCGAAAAACCAAAAAAAAAAAAAAAAAAAAAGCTGGCCTTGAATTCTCCATTGCACTTAGACTAATCCCCAAGATCTTCTAAGGCTTCCTTCCAAAATCCTGTGACATGGGTTATGCCCGACTTAATTTATATCTCATCTTATATCTTCCACCCCATCCCCCAATGCTCTGTTCTAGGTTCCTCCTTTAGCTCGCTCCCACCAGCAAATCTCTTTTCAAGGGAGGGCTTGGGCTTGTTCATTTTGCTGGGACTCATGGGTGACTATGCTGAGATACATATTGTCACTGCCGTGAGGTTGCCTCTGACCACTTTGACTAAACTAGCGCTTCTCTGTCACGTTATTGCTGTTATCCTTACAACCACGTGAAATTATTCTGTTCTATATTCGGCCTTCTTGGCTGTTTCCTGTCCCCACGCCGCCAGTAATACACGTTTCAGGGCCAATGTAACCCCAGTGCCTAACACTAGCGGGCACGTAGCAGGCACACACAGATCTAGGGTTGAGCGGGCAAATGTGCCAGTTGGGTGGACAGAGATGCCAAGACTGTTTTCTTTTCTCCTAGGACCACAGCCCCTGCTTGGAACTGGGAAGGGAGCGTTGTCACTGACACAATCCAAGAAGAGACCCCCATCAGGCTGAAAGAGACAGGAGACAGCTGAGAGGAGAGGAAGACTTAAACCGGAATTCAGACTGTGAGAACCCGAGAAGGCCGGGAGGAGGGGCGCGGAGGGGGGCGGAGCGCTCGGGAGGGGAGCGGAAAGCCGGCGCGAGGCGTCAGGGCCCCCGGGTCGCTCACAAGTGGCCCCCACATGTGGCCGTGCCGGGTCCCGCCCTCCCCGGGCGCGGCGCGTGCGGGATCAAAGCTGCCGACAAGGGGCGGACCAGGGAGCTGCGGGGGACCGGGGGTGCGAGCGTGGGAGCGCAGGGTCCCCGGAGGCGACAGGGACCCGGGAAGACAAGACAGGAGGGAGAGGCGCAGAAAGGGAGCAGCAGAGGGACGCGAGACTCAGAAGCCGAAGAGACCGCCCTAGCCCCGAAGAACCCCAGCAGAAATCGCCTAAGTACCTGGAAAAAAAAAAAATCAGAGAGAGATGGAGTCGTTGACCGAAAGACCAGAAGGCTGACATGCCCAGGTCCTTGGACCTGGGGAAAACGCGCTTCAAAACAGAAAGTGAGAGGGAGAGAGAGGAAGAGGGAAAGAAAGACCAGGAAGACCTGGCTCTCCCCCGCGGAGGAAGGAGAGGATCCCTGGACAGGGATCCCAGTTCTAGGTCCTTCCTCAGAGTTGAGCCTCCGGAGGTGCGGACATGGGTGTGAGTGTAGAGATAGCTGGAACCTTCCAGGCTGGGGTGGGGGTGGGGGTGGGGGTGGGGGTGTATGAGGATCTGCGGACAGTCCGGAGCTTTCAAGGCAGTCACAGAATCAAAACACTACATTTAATTTTTGGTTGAAATGTTTAGCCAAAAACATTCATCCCGAAGGAAAATTATCTATGCATTGGCCGGGAATCGAACCCGGGCCTCCCGCGTGGCAGGCGAGAATTCTACCACTGAACCACCAATGCAGACAGAGAACGGCGTTCTAAGGAATGTATCTGACCTCATCATCGACGGAGCCAGCCGTGCTCAAACCTGTTAAGTGTGGAAAGGGTTTGCGAAGAGAAGTTAAGGTGGGTGGAGCGCCAGGCCATTCTTTCTCTCCCTTGGATCCGGCCACCGGGCCATAAAGTCATTCCATATGGCCAGGGGCGGCCCCACACCCGGGTGCAAACTGCCCCGGCCCTCGAGCCTCACGTGCAGGTGAGAAAAACTCAACCCCAATCCTGGTTCCCAAGGAGGGGGGCAGCGGGGCCTGCTGAGGCCACACATCTGTGCTCCCATTTGGCTGAAGTAGGGAAGGTGGGATGTACTGGGGGCCCTAATCCCAAATGGGGTCCCTTCTCAATCAAGTCTGGGCCCCTCCCGCTCTGCCTGTGGGAAGGCAGCCTCTGCCAGAAAAGCGCTCAGGATGTGGATGCCCTCTGGCAGGAGACTCCACAGCTACCTTCCTTCTGGCCCGGTTTGTAGCCCTGTTCTTTCCCCCGTGTCTTCTCGTCATGTTAGATATCGGTTTTACCTTCTCAGGCACTTCGTCCTGAAGTCTCCAAGTGCTGACACATCCTTCCGTAGAGGGTCTTGCTCTTGGTTTGAGGTGGGTGCAGATCCCCTTTTGTAACCAACCCTTTCTTGTCCCTCTAGCAAATCTCACATTTTCCCTGTTTTCCCACAGTCACTAGACGCCTCCAGAGGCAAGTAACTCCGGTGCACTTGTGTGAGGTTTTCCCGTTAGCCATACTCCTGAATTCAGTTTTAAACCAAATGTTTGTAAATGGAAAATTTTCTTCATTCCTACTTATACTTTGAGGACTTCATCCCTTTTTTTTTTTCTAGAAGTTTCCTTTGCTCCCACCTCCCTCCCCCCCAAGTCCAGCCATCCTCAAGGAAATCTGTTCTGGGGCACTCGCTTCACTTCGCTTCTGTAATAGTCGCTTGACGGCAGACTCGGCTTATCACTGGGTCTGCAGGCGTTAGTAGAGGAGGTATTGCGGGGATTGAGTAGAAGGGACAGGCACCACGGCATGCTTTCCCGCAGCCTGCTCTGCGCCTTTAGGGTCGGTCTGCTCCTTCTGCCCAAGAGGAGGGACGACTTGGGGGAAGATACATAGCATTCAGCCTGGAGGCTGAAGCGCGCTGACATTCATTTCAGTGTTGATGAAGCCATAGTGAACCTCCAAGAAATCTACTCTCCTAGGAGATCCCCAAGTTTCATGTCTAAGCCAGTTGTGTCCCAATTCACTTAAACTCCCTTCCCCTAACATTCCCCTCCCTTCAGTTGGGTCCCGCCTTCTTATACAGCCTAATGGTCCTTAAACCAACCTGTGACCCCTTCCTTCCCACGCTTCCCACACTTGGGGCCAATTCCTCTCCGTCCCCTCCCCCTGCAGTCCCCGCCTTTCCGGGAGCCTCGTGCCCGGGCTCTTTGCCCTAGGCATCCAGGAGCTGAGGGGGGCGGGGCTGGGTCCTCTCCCTCCTACCCTGCTCTGGCGGGATATAAAAGTCTAGGGAGCACGCGTCGTGTCCACCGCAGGGTCCGGAGGCGCAATGGTCACTCGGGATCGAGCTGAGAATAGGGACGGCCCCAAGGTGAGAAGTGGGAAAGGCGGGAGCAAGGAGTCCCTGTTCCGAACACTGTGGGTTAGGGGTGAGGATGGACTGAAGGGACAGAGATGCTCGTGCGACCCAAAGAGAGGGTGAAGAGAACAGGGTCAGAGCCGGACTTGTGTGGGTGGCGGAAGCCGAGGTCTAGGGGTTTAAAATTGTGGGCCGCGTCTTGTGGCCTGGAGAGCTCCAGAGAGTGCCAGAATTTGGGCACCGTGGCCTATCCTAGAGCTCAGGAGGTTGAGGCAGGTGGATTGCCTCAAGTTCGAGGCCATGGAGTAAGTCCTACAAACACAAAGCAAGCAAACGATATAAAACAACATAAAATAAGCTAGAAGACAGAGCGGTGGAGGAGGACTGGAATACAACAAGGAGTCTGCTTACTGTGGAGTCTGTGAACCACATCTGACTCTAAAAGAAGACTTTTGAGTCGTTGGGTCCAGAGATGCGGGGCCGGGCGGGAGATTTTAGAACCCGCGGCGACTCCTGGCGAATTCCTAGAAGGGCTTTAGCGAGAAGGGGAGGTGTGGTCGTGCTATGTGTCTCCGTTGCACTCTGGGCTAACAATTCTGATTCGTACCGTGAGGGTTGGGGGCAAAGAGTGTGCCCAGAGTTCTTCACTGATACACCGAGAGGGAGAATACACAAGACAGATGTAGAGAGAAGGGAGGCGAGGCACAGACGGGAGGCCGGAGGAGGAAGCCGAACACGGACGGGGCAGGGGTCAGAGAGCGGGGAGAAGTGGGGGCGAGCCACTGAAGCCGGCCCTAGGGCGCTGGGAAGGAGGGAGTGAGAGTGAACCAATGGACCAGCCCTAGGCAACCAGGGATTGGGGGGAAGGGGCGCATGGGGTGTCCCAGGGGCGGGATCGGACGCTCGCGTGGCGGCGCTGAATCTCGGTCCGGTCGGCCCGCTCTCCCTTTCCCGCTGGTCACAGATGCTGAAGCCGTTGGTGGAGAAGCGGCGCCGGGACCGCATCAACCGCAGCCTGGAAGAGCTGCGACTGCTACTGTTGGAGAGGACCAGGGACCAGGTCAGTTCCACCACCGGCCCAGGCTCTTAAGCATCCAGTGCGTGTGTCCCAGGGCTTTCCACCGGGGTGGGGACATAAGCTGGAGTGGTGACCCTGGTGCCAAGGCGTCCTGACCCGAGCCTGGCCTTTGAAATCCCATCCCAGACCCCCTCTCGATCTGAGAATTCGGTCTTCGCCACCTTGCGGGTCTTTAAGTTTCCTGTTTGGCTCTGTAAACTGAGCTTCCAGCGTGCCTCAGTTTCCCGCTTTGGGTCTCTAAATATCCTCGTCTATCTCCTGCCCCCATTAACCAGCTTCAGTTTTGCGGTGGTTTTCACCACTCCTCACATGTTGGGAACTGGTTCCACTCCCTCAGGGTGGACAGTCTCGTCTCAGGGTGGGACAGGGACCTTTCTTGGTCATCTCCACATTCGGTCGCGAGTCATGGGGGTACCCGCAGCTCCCGTACCGCCCCTCCCTTCTTCCCCCAGCCACTTTCCCCCTCTCTCCCCACCCTTTTCTGTCTCTGCGCCCCCCGCTCCCTCCGTCTGTAGAACCTCCGGAACCCGAAGCTGGAGAAAGCAGAGATACTGGAGTTCGCCGTGGGCTACTTGAGGGAGCGAAGCCGGGTGGAGCCCCCGGGTACAGCGCGGGGGGTGGGGCAGCGGAGGGAGGGAGGGAGGGTGGGTGGGTGGGAGCTGGGAAGGCTCGAGCTGGGGCAGGGGCGGGGGACGGGGGACTAGGGGAGCGGCCCGCTGTGCTCCGAGGCGAGGTTAATGACACCTGCGCGTGTCTGTCTCTGTGTCTCTCCCATTCCCCCTCCTCTGCACGTCCATCTGGTCTCCCGTCTCTGTCTGTGCGCCCGTCTGACCTCGGTTCCTCTGCGCCCCGCCCTTTCCCTCATCCCCGTTGGACCCCTGCCCTGCCCGCCTGTCCTCCCGCCGGCTGCACCAGGGGCTCCCCGGTCCCCAGGCCAGGACGCCGAGGCGCTCGCCAGCTGCTACTTGTCCGGTTTCCGCGAGTGCCTGCTTCGCTTGGCGGCCTTCGCGCACGACGCCAGCCCCGCCGCCCGCTCCCAGCTTTTCTCCGCTCTGCACGGCTACCGGCGCCCCAAACCGCCCCGGCCAGAGGCTGTAGATCCAGGGATCCCAGCACCGCGCCCACCGCTGGACCCCGCTTCACCCATCCTTGGCCCCGCGCTGCACCCGCGCCCCCAAGTGCACCAGGCCCCCCCTAGTCCCCGCTGCGCTTGGTCCCCATCCCACTGCTCCCCTCGCGCCGGGGATTCCGGCGCGCCGGCGCCCCTCACCGGACTGCTGCCACCGCCGCCGCCGCCTTACAGACAAGACGGGGCGCCCAAGGCCCCGCCACTCCCACCGCCCGCGTTTTGGAGACCTTGGCCCTGAGCTTTGCGGGGCTGTGGCGGGGATTGGGGGTGGGGTAGAGACTCCAGCCAGAGTGCAGGAGAGGGATCCGGGCGTCGGGGCGAGGAGGGCAGCGGGGCGCGCGGGCTCAGCGCGCGGGTGAGATGTGGTTTATATTAGAGTATCTATATAAATATATATTTTCCTATTCCTTTTCCCTGCTCCACTACCCTGTGTGTAGGATTGTACCCTCTCTACCCCAGTCCAGTTCCAGTCCCTTCCCTAGTCCCTAGTGCATGGAATAAAATGGTTATCAAATCCCGGTGTGTCCCCTAGCCAGGGGCCTGCCTCTATATCGGTGCCACGCCCATTTGCACATTCCCTTCTCCCACATTTAGGCCTGCTCTCCACGGCCCAAGCCATGGGGCAGACAGGTAAGTAACAAACCGAGAGACAGACTGAGGTTGAAACTGGACTCGAAAATAAATTGGGTTAAGTGAAAGCCAAGAAAAGTTTAATAAAACCGACTCTGGTGGGATTCGAACCCACAACCTTTGAATGGCTTTTTCGTCACTAGAAGTCCAATGCGCTATCCATTGCGCCACAGAGCCACATGGCGGGCGGCGCCTTCTTCCAGCTTACGGAGACTAGCATAGAAAAAAAAGGTAGCGCGGGAAGGGCAGAGAGTGCGGAGCTGTGTCATCGGAGACGGAGGCGAAGATCTGAGAGGCTAGCGGAATGAGGCGAGATGCAGTGCACGCGTGAGCTAGGTGGGAATGAGGGTGGACGCGGGTGAGGGGAGCAGGGAGGGACAGTCACGGAGTTTGAACCAGCCAGCAGTGCAAAGCTCGGGCGGCTCCTTGGGCTGCCAAGCTCACACTCGCTCGGTTCCCAGATTTGATCCCACTAAATAAATTTGTTTTGTTGTAAATCTCTGTGTCTTCTGCTCATTTATGTTGCTTCTTTACCAAGTCGTCCAGAGTCTCTGTGGCTCCTCATTCCGGGTTTGAAATACGCAGCAAAACAAATTTAGGTCAGTTCGCGATTTTTTGTACGGACTTCCTTCTGGTATCTTAGGAAGACAACGGGAAATGTTGGTCTGCATGCGGGTAGCGTGGCCGAGCGGTCTAAGGCGCTGGATTTAGGCTCCAGTCTCTTCGGAGGCGTGGGTTCGAATCCCACCGCTGCCAGGCCAGAGTTTTTCTTCTGGCTGCTGTGTGCTTCAAGCCTAAATGACACTTTATTTAGTTTTAGACATCCATTTCTTGTCTTGTTTCTCCATCACCTCTCTTCCTCGTTCTTGCCAGTTCTTGTCAACAGACCGCGACTCATTTTGTATTCATTAGCAAGATTTTGTAAGGCAAGATTTTCTAAGCTACCTTAAGAGTGACATGTTTATAGTTCAGCTCCATTGTAAACATGTCTAGGAATAGGTTTTATAGTATAATAAACTATATTACATTATAATATGCTAAAATTCAGCGAAGATCCCAGTGTACACATATTTGTTTCTTTGTGTTCTATCCGAGGGTACGTAATGGGGTTGAAGCTATTCAACATAAAAGGACAAATATGTTTTTATTTAATCTTGATGGTGAAAATAGTAAGGTTCCACCGAGATTTGAACTCGGATCGCTGGATTCAGAGTCCAGAGTGCTAACCATTACACCATGGAACCCTCTCTTTCGTCCTCTCTTCGGAAATTATATACATTATTCTGTATTCTATTTTAATACCACTCCCAACTTTATCATTTACCGAAACAAATAAAGCAAACGCATGAAAGCCTCCAACTACCTGAGATATGAATTCTTCTTCTAAACCTGAAGATTAAGAAAGGAGACCAAAAATTTAGTTAAAATGCTGATTTTAAAATAACACTTTCAGTTAAAATAAGATTTTCAAATATTGTAGTAAGTGGAATATGTTATTAAAAGCAGTTTCGCCAACTTCTTTTTACTCTTTGGCTTTTAGAAAAATTAAACTCGTATCCCTGGTTTACAGTGTTCCCTCTTATTTACACCTCCTTTTAAAAGAAGGTAATCTTTTTGTTGTTTTATTGCGCTCGTCAAACTTCAAAGTGGGACAACAGGAACGTGTATAGGGACACACAGGTTTACAAAAGCTTACCGCCCGAACAGGGACTTGAACCCTGGACCCTCAGATTAAAAGTCTGATGCTCTACCGACTGAGCTATCCGGGCTCTTGGAAGTAAAACACCTCCTTTTAAAAGAAGGTAATCTTTTTATTGTTTTATTGCGGTTGTCAAACTTCACAGTGCGACAACAGGTACATAATTTTACAAAAGCTTACCGCCCGAACAGGGACTTGAACCCTGGACCCTCAGATTAAAAGTCTGATGCTCTACCGACTGAGCTATCCGGGCCCTTGGCCACCATGCACTCACACCTCCGAGAGTATTTTCTGATACATCTATCCTTTCGTTCATAGTCATCTAAATGACAAGGAATGCGTTTAAATGTGTGACGACCTCATGAAGTCTAGCTACTAATGCCGGTCATTTCCTTAGAGGTCTGTACAAGGTGGTCGCAGGGGCAGCAGCGCCACGCAGGCTGAAATCTCCAGGTGCCTAGACCGGCCACGCGGGGCCGCTGCGGGCTGCCGGTTTCCGAGGCACAGCCTCTTTCTCTCTTGTGACCTAGATCTCGTCCACTTAGGGCACGTTGCCTCCCACGGACTAGCAGGCAGGCTGAGGGAGGGCTTGGAGCGTAAAGAATGTCACACGGGGCCCTCCAGATGCTGTCGGGCAGGCCTCCATTCACTTGGCAGGCCCTGCTCCAAAGGAGTTATTGAGGTCGGGGTACCGAAAACTGGGGGGACAGAGAGGGGACCAGGCTTGAGGAAGAAATGGGTGTGCCGGTGGCAGGATGGGGGCCACGACCACCTGCCGCGTGCTGAGATGAGTGTGCTGTTCACTTGATTGTTGCTGAAGTCACGTGTGATTTATGAATCGGTGCAGCTTTCCGGTGTACGACGGTGTGATTCACACGGTTGATTCACACGTAGGAATTCTGGTGCTCTGGTGCCCGCTTCTGGTTTGGAAATAGGAGGAAAAGGGTCTGGGTGGAAACAGGGGAGTGGGTGAACATGGGCCTCACGACATTAGTCAAGCCTCTGATCAAGCTGAGGGTAGTGTCCCAGTCACGCACGCGTCACCTCCCCCCTGTCTCCCTCTCGGCATTTGGTTCCTCCTCCCTTCTTCCCTCCCCAGTGGACCCAGTCTCCAGATATCCATCTGGATGAGCCAGCCAGAGGGACCGGCTGTGTCAGAGGCCAGCAAACAAGTATTAGGGTGCAAGACTGTGGGCGGGGAGAGTCCTCCTGAACTACCAGTGGAGCTCCGGTGAGAAAGAGAGAGAGCGAGCGAGCGAGCCCAGGAACATCCCAGAGCTGGGCCCTTCCTCAGGCTCGCCCTTCCCCACCCCCCAACCTTCTTCTGCCCAGGAGACTATCCTGTTCTACCTGTAGCTCACCTTATCTGGGCCAGCTACTGTTTTTGGGTTATCGGGTCCTACCATGGCAGTTTACCGTCTGTGTGTAACCACTGGTTCCTACCTGAAGGCTGGCACACTGGACAACATCTATGCTACTTTGGTGGGCACCTGTGGTGAGAGCCCTAAACAGAGGCTGGATCGTGTGGGCAGGGACTTCGCCTCTGGATCGGTGAGTACACAGGAGAGATAGGGGATCTCTAGGGAACCGACCTCACGGGGGAACTTGATTGAACGCAGGGGAGGTGATTCTTGTTAGATTCCTCAAGTCCTGCAGAACTCTGAGGGCTCACTATAATCTTGTCATCTTTTCCTCTGCGGTCCCTGCCTTCTGAGTGATGATAAACCATACCAACTGTTCGGAGACAGGGCTGTGGAGAAGGTGGAGCACTTGGAAGGAACTCTGGGGACTTTCCCTGGCTTCCGGGTTCCTATTATTATTATTAATAATTATTATTATTTTCCAGATAGGGTTTCTCTGTGCAATCCTGACTGTCCTGAAACTCACGCTGTAGACCAGGCTGGCCTCGAACTTAGAGAACTACCTGCCTCTGCCTCTTGGATAACTGGGATTAAAGGCTTGCGTTACCACCACTTGGCCTGGCTCCTCCCATTTTTGGCACAAAGTTTTGACCAAATAGCTTCCTTACTCTGACCATGGATTTTCGGTTCTCTGGAAGGGGTCTGCTTCCCAAGGTCAGACCCTAGGATAGTTTGCTAGTGGCCTTACATAAAAGTGCCCTGCTGGCCAAGGAAGCTAGAAGGCCCCCAAAACTCCGCACAGGCGCTAAGTACGGTGCCTGCCTCTACATGAATGAAGACAGGGTCTTCTCATTCACACAAGGGAAGCACATGGATCACCTGCTGCTCAGGCTTATACGCCAGAGTAAGTGGAGGTGCTAATGCACCCTTTCCGAGTGCCTCGCAATTCCTTGCCTCTCACTGGCTTGCTTGCTGCCTCCATCACTCCAGGTTCAGAAGTACAAGGTGCGCTGTGCAGCAGAGCTGGGTGAGATCTTGCTGTTGCGCTTACACAAGGAGCGCTTTGCTTTCTTCTGCAAGGACCCCTGGTACTGCAGCCGTATCAGTGTCACTGCTCCAGATGGCACTGTGATTCTCTTTCCCAGCTACCAATGGATTGAGGGCTACTGCACCGTGGAGCTGCGGCCAGGAACAGGTGGGCCAGGGACAAGGACTGCACAGTCCTGCAGCAGCTTCTTTTGGGATTAGGAATGGAGTGTCAAAAACGGCGCAGGCTGCAGGGAATAGGGTTGGGGTTATGAATGCTAGGGTCTCGGGTAGATAGCTTTTGATAAAGAACATTGCTAAAGTCCCGATACGCAACGGCTTCCTGAGTAGTGTTTCTTCCTCTGCAGGCACACACAGTCAGTCAGGCGCACACAGTCAGTCAGGCGCACACAGTCAGTCAGGCACACACAGTCAGTCAGGCACACACAGACAGATACACCAAATGCAGACAGATATTCTCACACCAGGCAGCTGACATCCCACTGCATTTCTCCAGCGTATGTTCTTCTGGAGCTCAGAAAGTAGTTAGCTTACCAGCTAGACTTCAGCAGGTGGGAAAGCCACGGGAAAAGACCCTGTGCCCTGCTTCCTGCTAGCTCTTCTGGTGGGGATGAAGTGTCTGGGAAGTGAGCTAGGCTCTCTTGCTGAATTTTGAATTTCAAGGTTACTGTTCTGTTTCCAGAACTGTCTGTTCCACAGAGGTAGCACTAGAGTTGCTCTCTCTCTCTCTCTCTCTCTCTCTCTCTCTCTCTCTGTGTGTGTGTGTTGTGATTCGTCTCAGACATGAGAGATGGGTATTCTACATTAAAGTGAAGCAAGTGAATGTCATTCCACAGCCTACAATGCTCTTTTCATAGACTTTCCTATCAATGCCCACTCACCATCAGAGAACATGATGGCTTTATTAAAATATGTTTATTCAGCAGTTATCAAATGATGCCAGGCACCAAGCCAGACACTGGGAAGACAATGAGTGTGACATGATCTAGATCTCAAGGAGAACATTTTCTAGAAAGGGAACAAATGAGCAGTTAGGAATGTGGCAATGGCTTCAAATCCATGATGGATGAACAAAGAGCGCGTGGATGGTCAGTCCCCAAAGTGCCGCACATGGAGACAGCATAGACCAAGACTCAGAGGGCTCAGACAACACTTGCAGGAGGAACACTGCTTGAAAAGAGATTTGTATGAAGAGTGCTTTTCATTCCCTACAGCAAGAACCATCTGTCAGGATTCTCTCCCCCTCCTTCTGGATCACAGGAAACGGGAACTCCAGGCCCGCCAAGAATGCTATCGGTGAGGGTGGTCTAATTTGACTTTTTGCCCCATCTTTATTCTGACTTCAGCCTTACTCAGATTGTTCCAAACTCTGATTTCAGTTAAAATCATG